AAAAAAAGGGGGAAAAACCAATGTCATAGTACAACCCAACATAACATTCTCAAATGAATCTTTAGATAAATTATAAAAATAACTTAAATTTGATAAACTTCTTTACTAAATTAAGAATAAATAAATCTAAATGTTAAAAATTTTCTACTAAACTAATAACTGAATGAAAAAAAAAATTATTGCTTTCATTTTTTAAGGAATTTTTTTATATGCATTTTTTGATTCTATGCTAATGTAAAAAAAAAAAATTTGGCATCAAAGTTTAACTGCTTCTACGAAGTTATCAATACTAACTTATTTTTATAATCTGGTCAAAATATAACCACTAATACTAATCAAATAAGCAATAAATTCTTCAAATTCTCTATTCTTGGCTTTTCGATTGCTCAGGCTCATTCGCTGCTTTGCACTTTTCACTCCCCATCTTCCCAAAGCCAAAATCAATTGAATTTAACCTTTGGAAGTAAATTCAAAGTTATCCAGCTACAAAAATTCCCCCTTTCTCCTTGATGTGCCAGTGCCACTTCCTAAATCCCTGATCATCCCTTTCGAATTTACTTATTCCCTGAAAAATTATGGCAGCCAGTAGCTAATCTTCTTTTGCAAATAATCTTACATCCAACTATTAATATGCATTTTGTTATCTAAAGAATAAACAAAAAATTCAATATAAAAATTTCAATTTAGTATTAATAACAACTAGCAGAGTCTAATCAAGTAAATACAAGATTAAAGAATTAATACATAAATAACAAAAAATGATTGAAGTGAGGAATAAGGTAAAATTGATCGGTCATTCTTCACTCGGACTTGATTTATAGTCAATATCTGTACAGCATATAGTTGATGGGCACCAAAGAGGAAAAAGTAAAAGCTGAGCACCTTGTGTTCAACAAAGCTATACATTGTAGTACTGCTTTGGCATTGAGTTTCAATTCCCATGCACTCATTTCTTTCCCGTCTTGTCTCAATTGAAGTTGAAGCTGTTGGTCCACAATCACATGCTGGAACAGAGAGCAATCAATTCATGACTTTGCATAATTGCACTGCAGCAAGCTTTTTCACTCTTCAGTGTCGTTGGCCTGCACTAATGTTTCTAGTGGGAACACTAGAATGACAGATAAATGAGTTGTAATTTTTTTAAAGAGGGCAATTAGTACATATTAGTTGCACCCGAAAAATAGGAAAAGGGATGTCACGGAGTTGGAACATTAACTAGTGACTGTAGCAAGTAAGCTGGAACGTGAGGATCATAAGTGAGGCATCCTGAAAAAAACAAAGAGAGGGTAAATAGAGTAACAGAAGGATTGGGTAAAACTAATCTGAAATTTTATGTGCAAATTTGGCTTATAATATCTATGAGGCATTTCAATAGCTAGCTGATGGGCACCAAAATAAGATAATAGGCGGAAGCTGCTGTACCATTCGATCAAGTATTGATAATTAGTAAAATTCAATCAAGTAATCACAAAATTAAAGAATCAATAGATACATAATGAACAGAAATTAAAAATAAATAACTTCACTAAAGGTAAAGTAAAATTAGAACCATATCTGTAAGAACAGCTGATGTGAACCAAAGAAGAAAAGAAAAATCAATGCCACTCGTGATCAATCAAATAATGCATCCGAAAGTCCCACTTTTTTGGAGTTATTCGTTCCCCATCACATGGGAGAACAGAATAAAATCAATTCATGATCTTGCATGGGAGAACGTTTTCTTTAAAGTAACTGCTCAGAGTTAGTGGCTTGTATGAATAGTCTATAGTGGGGAACACCAAAATTGACAGACTAATCTCTTAAAAAAACGTGCAATCTTGACAACGCATGAAGTTAGATTTTTTGGAGTGTTGTGAGATGTTGGAGTAGTGGATTGATATGGTAGAAATATGAATTGATAGAGATAGACTAATGATAGTAGATTTTTTTAACTGAAGTTAAAAGACTAATGACAATGGATTGGAGAAGCAAATTCTGAAAGTGTAAATAACATCATTCACTTCACTCCTTCGTGAACATATAATTAGTGTGGATTGATTTTTACCTCCCCTATCCTTTATTATCATTCTACTAATAATTAATTTATTGAGATTTATAGTATTTTTAATTAATTTTAGTATATTAATACCTCATTTAACTTTTTGAGAATGCATTTTATATATTTTAACGAACGAAAAGAAATTCTGATGATTTTTTTTTTTGAATAAGGTATAATTTGTAAGTATAATTCAAGCATATGTCAGGTATTCAATAAATTAAAATTTCAAATAAATTAGTAACTTTATAAAATT